AGGGTTAAAAATAAAATAGCTTTTCTATAGGAATAAAATAGAAAGTAAAATAGGGATAAAATAGGGTTAAAATAGTGTTGATTTTCGTAAGGGTATGTATTGCTAACGACCCCATTATGCACTGCTAATGACCATATAATGGTTATTTTACACAATGGTTGAGAATTACAAAGTTGAGAAATGAGGCACAGTCCCAAACATTTTGACGAAATAACATCTCTATTTTCGGCACAATTGTCCTTTCGGCAAACTGTCAGCTTGGCAAAATGTCCATTTGTGAAAACGTCTGTTCGGCAAAATGTCTTTTGTCAAAGTGTTTTCGGCAAAATGTCCCGGGTACCAAGTTTATGAACCATGCACATTTAAAAACTAATGTCAAACATTAAAGACATTTGAAAACTAATGTCAAACATTGTTGGTCAACTCTAATGTTATTTCAAAAGTAACTGAGCAAGTGAAGCATTGTCAATGCTATCAGAAGTGTTTGAATCTGCTTCAGGTAAAAGTCTAGCAAGTGGTACGTTGCCATCATCACTTGAAATATCAACTTGGCCCTATGGATCGGTTTCATTATACTTTCCACTGCTATAGGATGGTTCATCTTCCTCGTTCTGCTGTTGAGCTGCCAATTTGGCTTCCCTCATCTTTCTTCTCGTTGCTTTTCCTTGCATTGATGCTTTTCAAATAGATCAATATCCTTGTTTCGACCATGTACCATCATAACTTACTGTAATCTGTACCACATTCGACTAATTTGGTTCATGAAATCACTATTTCTTTCGCTTTTTCTAAATTTTCTGCTACAAATTTCTTATGTGCCTCATACAATGGTGTTCACATGGTTATTCCATGTACTGTGATGGCACAGGGAAAGCATGTTCAAAATGTCATACATCGCACAGATATGGTTTCTCTACAGACACCCATTTTTGATGCAGTATACACAGTTCGTCTATTGATGTCCATAGCAGTTTGGGATGCCTGTGATCCACTGGTGTTCCCTGAAGTTGGTGGAGCTCTACTTTAGTGTCACACTTGGATAATTATATTTCAATAACCAAACTATTGCCATAAGTCCGAGCCACCTCCTCTCTCAAGGTCAAATCTCCCACAGCCTGCCATTGGTGTTAGGGTTGGGATACACTCAACAAACTTGACAATCCTATCAGTCTATAACTAAAAGAATTCTTCAAATCATCACTCTTACCAGCAGCTTGATTACAAAACTTTCGCATAGATGTAGTTTCTCTTGTAGGAGCAATTTTCTCTGTACCCGAGGCTGTTGAGCATCACAACACCACACAAACTTGTGCCCTCAACATTCCCGTGATTTTTGCTTTAAAGTCTAAATCTAAAATCTAAATCTAAAATACTTTTAGCATGACCAAATATATAAAACCTCCAAAAACAATCTCCAGCAAAATATATATGTAATAAAGTAAAGTATGTAGTATTAAAATCAGTTTTATTTTCGACAGCAAGTTTGTATTTTGGAAGTGAGCATCGACCACAAAATGATGCGTAAATTGCTGGGTAACCAGGCCTTAAACTCGTGACCAGCCTCTTGATTCACCAAACCGCAAAAATATTCAAATTTTCATCCAAATTATCCAAAAGCAAGAGAGAAAGGACAAACGAAATGACGAATATGACCTTGTTTCCATGGCAAAAATTCAATATTTCAATGTCCTTCAGAAAAAAGCTTATATTTTCAAGAAAGAAAGCTCAAACAGGTCCGTTTTCAGTCGTATACGATTCTTTAGTACCTAAAGATGATTTTTAAGGTAATATGGTGTCTGAAACTTGCAATTTTCCATCTTGTTATATATTACGTTACAAAAACACATGAAATGTTACAACAATGCCTTGTAAAGGTTACGAAGGTGCCTTATGAAGGTTATGTAAATGCCCTATGAAGGTTACGAAAATGCAGGTTACAGGTGGGATTTTTTACAATGAATATGAATCACATTGAGAAATACTACGACTCTATATCGACATGTCAACAAATTTAAAACTCTCTTGATCCAGCGATTTCGAAAGCTTAAAAACATTTGTACATGATACCCTTGGACTACAGGGAACTTGGTCATCACCGGAATGAAAACAATTTGTAACCGAGACGATAACACTATTATGGGAAAAAATAAGAATTTTTCGGCGATTGGGAGAGGATGCAAACAAAATTACTCAGCAATTGACCAGTGCATTGTGTGGGAGCAGTAAATTAAACTAAATGAACACGAGTGAACCCGCGTGCGGTGTGAACTCGGGTTGATGAATCTCCTGGGGTGAATTCTACTCCTTGATTTGGATTACTTGAAGTAAATAAAATGCTAAAGACTGAAAAACAAGGTTGCTCTTTATGTGCAATTTCTCGTTGTGGTTATGGATTAATCCCTGGGGTCGGTCTCTACTGTAAACGCTAACTGCGTAGGTAGAATACGGTACTGCATATAATCTTGTTTCACTGTATCATGTTCAAACATAATATTTCAGTGAACTTCAAATATTTTCTCTAATTATCTTTAAAGGAAGCCCATGGAGTCTATAATGACTGTTGGGAAGATACCAATACATGTTGGAAGGCTGTCATCACAATGGATGAGCCAAATACTGACTTTGTGTACACTGTACATGTACAGTATTTACCATAGGTGCTTGAAAATATGTGTACCTACACTGTACATTTATCAGTTAAGATGTGCATACACCAGTACATATATATTAACCAATTGAGTGGCAACACTCTCCCCTTGACGAGTAAAATAGTCTGGTGTTAGACAGAGTAAAATAATAAATTAGAACATGATCACACCCACTTGGCCAATAAAAACACAGCATTTCAGTGGTCGATATCCCGTAGTATATTAATTTGTTAAGTAATGTGGTCTTTGAAGCGCAGGGAAACTGCAGGGTTAAGAAATGTTAGCACTCCTCTATATAGAGCATACTAATGAGTCCATTGTTTTTTGTTTTGTTTTGTAGCTTCATTAGTATGCTCTATATAGAGCGTAGTAATGACAAATGTATTACTCAGCACACTCCCTATAAGGGTTTTTCTGTGACTGGTTACATTAGAGCCGGAACTGGCATACTAATGAGTTACATTTATGGTGTCAAAGACAAAATTGTTTACTGCAACAATTTTTATTTGATATAACGCTCAAAAATACATCTGTATATTCACACAATCCTTACCCAAAATACAAACACACACGCATTCAACACTCCCATGTACACACACGCCCGCCCGAGATATAATGAGTATCATTCAATAACCAATAGTGCCTGATGACCACAACAGTTCTTCATCTGCTAACGTTAGAGGATCTGCCACATTTTTCGTCATGTCAGTGCCAGCACTTGTCATTTCTTCATCCTTGAATCCAAAGTGTTTCTAAATGATGAGAAATTGGTGTTGTTCTTTGCCAAGATGTTCAAATCAAACTTCTGAAATGTAATAGCCCAGTAGCAATGTTATAATGTATAAACTGTTTGCTGGGTATGGCTTGCCATCCCCTCTCCTAGCTTCCAAAATAAATCTTGTTAACCAATAGTAGACTTTTTCATGCTCGTCGTTTCAAAAGTAAGAGGAACCAAAGATACACATTTATCGGCCAAGAGGTATTTTCTATCTCTCTTTTCTTTATCTGTTCGTTTGTAGTAGGTTTCTCGAACCTGCTACACTCTCCATGGTTCAGAAAGCAAGAAATCTTGTGTCGCATTAATCGCTTCAAGTTGCTCCAGCTGCTACAGCCTGTCCAGGATTTCGAACTATGCCTATTACGGACATATTAATGAAACCCTAAAAACCAAACAAAGATCAAACATTGTGGTTAAAATCCCTTCAGTAAAATAAAACAATGGCCAAATAACACGTTTAGGAAAGGCTAACAAATGTCACAGAAAAGTTCTTCACATCACAATATCCAATATAGAATATCACTGATCAAATATTATAGCAATTAGTCTATTTGCATTAAACTGTATATAGTTTACTCTTGTACAAGATAAATTTTGTTTTTTAAATATTTTAAAATCATTGCTATTGTATGAGTTGACCAGGTTGCATGTGGTTAAACGTCATGTAAAGGCCAGCGGACCTATCATAAATTAGGACAAGTTTGTAACAGCAATTCAGAATAACCTGGATTGGCCATCACTCTCACAGTCTCAACAGTGTGCAATCAAGTCATAAAATCAAATGTGTTTATCTGAAGCCCTGTAATATTTTCAATGCAAGCCCGAAAATAGACCCAACTATATTCTGAAATTGCAAAGGTATTGTTATACTATACTATACTATATTATACTATACAATAAAATGTTGCAAATACAACTGAATGTAACATTGTTTCTCACAATGCCTCGTGTTGTCACAATGCCTTTTTGTTTCTCACAATAGCCTTGTGATACAAAACTGTATATGAATTTATCTGATATCCTGACCACACCAAGAAAAATATTTAAAAAAACAGTAATAGAATTACCTTAATTAATCTATTGACATCCCTCTATTCTACAAACAACTGTTATACACAGAGAGAATCACACAGGTATACATAAAGTGCGAGCCATGTTGATGTTGCGAGCCACCACAGATCAGTGCCAGCCACCACAGATCAGTGCCAGCCATGTGCAATAAAGAAACTATTAATACTAGAAGTTACTATCGCAAGGAAAGTGCTGCCTCACCCCCAAGGGATCAAAGGCAGCATGCACAATTTGCTGAATAAGGGGCTGTTTATATGATCCCGCTTTGCCAGGACAAGCTACGAGGCGGATGGATTCGATGTATTGAAAGAAGTCATGGTGAACGATTCAACAAAAACTTCATTATTTTCTAGAGATAGTTTGTAGTTAACTGTAACCGAAAGTATATTTTGTGTTCAATATATAGACCATTAACTACCTGAAGATGGAGTAAATCTCTGAAACGTCGTTTGTTAATGTAATAAACACATTTAAAAAAAGTCTTACTGTGGTCTATATATTGAACACAAAATATACTATTAACATGAGGCTCAGGGAAAGTTCATTCCTAAACATTTTGTAAACAAAAGGTTTTTTCAAGCACCAATAATAATGTTCTGGAACACAAGATCTTCTCTACAACATTTGAGTTCGGTTAACCAGCATTTAAACTTTCTAGCCCAGTAATTTATTTCAATACAACAAAAACATCCCACCTTCGATTATGTAAACACCCCCTAAGGCATTCCGGGGGCAGGGATTCTAATTTTTTGGCATGGGCGGTTTTGCATGAATACCTTCAATGCTTATAACTTCTTGCTTTTGTTTGTATAATTATAATGCTGTCAGTGGTGAAAATAGCCATAGCAACAGGTCATGCTATGCAAGTATTTAATGATTTGTTTCATTCAAATAGATGCATGTTTATCAGCATAGGCATAGCATGACCAGTTGCAATGACTAGCTCGCTACTAACCAGAGATCAGGCTCTATTTTACAAATATAGCCTGACATAAACATTAATGTGATAGCTTTCCACCCACAGCAAAGTTTATATTTAGTATCCCATCAAAATGTCGCAGGAGAAATTTAAATTTCACACAATGACAACAACAATCAAATTATAGTTGTGTTCACTACAGGGCCTTTTTTAAGGATTTTCCTGTGGGGGGGGGGCATTTTTTGAAAAGGGACCTTTCTGTGAGATAATATATTACAGGGAGATAGCAATGGCTGAAGGCCACGTGTGCGCCGAACATACCATGCACGCATGTATGAGAGGGGGGGGGGAGTGTACTCCCCCAGAAAATTTTTGAAATTTGAAGCACAGAAATGCCATTTCCTGAATTCTGAGCATCCAAATGCGCTCCAAAATGTATACTAACTATACTTGTATTTGAAATAAAAGAAGGAAAAAACCCACAAAAAGTTTAAAAAAATATTAACCATAATTTATCATTACTTATTAGAGGAGGATCCCAATGGTCACGTGTGTGGGGGTGTACTCCCCCAGAACATTCTTGAAATTTGAAACATGGAAATGCCATTTCCTGCATTCTGAGCATCCAAATTTGCTCTAACATTTATGCTAACTATACTTGTATTTGAAATAAAAGAAGGAAAAAATGGACAAAAAGTAAAAAAGAATATTAACCGTAATTTATCATTATACTTACTAGAGGGGGATACCAATGGCCGAAGGCCACGTGTGTGGGGGCATAATCTCCAGAAAATTTTTCAAATTTGAAACCTGAAAATGCTCTTTCCTGCATTCTGAGCAACCAAAAAATAAAGAATTATTAACAATAATTTATCATTACTTAGTGGTAGAAAAACGTAACAATTTAGATCGATTTTGTTAAACAAGGACAAAGGATAAAGCCTAAACCTTACTTTCCGTTTATTTATTTGTTATTCTTCGCTGTTTTGTTGGTATAAATTTAGGAAAAAGGGACTTTTCCTGGGGGGCAAAATGTGATTTCGTGAGGGGGGGGGGCACAAGGGGGAACTGGGGGGGGGGAAATGCCCCCGCCCAGCTTGTATGTTAAAAAAGGCCCTGGTTCACTATAAAATATATCATCAACAATAGTATAAATATCTAGTTAGCACCAACCAATCAAATGACAGATTAAAAACACTTTTGTCTCATAGACCAATCATATTTACAACTGAATATGGCTGTAAGGCATGTTAAGGTTTGTATCAGGCCAATTTATTTATTTATAGGCCTGATCGAAGGTTAGCTCACCACTGAATACTGTACAATATCATAATGTATTTATATACATAAATGATAATAATACTTGAATGAATCATTGGACATGTAGAATTTAATAGCAATTTCATGTATGGAAATACTATACAAAACTACCCCTATCGCAGAACAACTGACATTTGTAAAGATTCAGATTGTACTCAGTAAGAACTTCAAAACTATATAATAAGAAAGATATTGTGAGCATTATCGAAAAAAATATAGTGTACCCTGAAATGTAATAACACAGCCAGGTGAATATATGAATGTAATTATGTAGGCCAGTCCTATCTCAGAGATATATTTTTACAGACTGTCATACCTTGTACAAAAGTCAGTTGACATGCAATTATAATCGTTCTGTGACATCAACGTCTTCGATTCGTAGATTGAGTCGTCAAATTTACGGTTGCAAAATTGCTCGAACTGCCGGTTCAGTTGCACATTTGCATCAACAAAGTTAGCGGTGGGTGCTTCGGTACCAGATCTTCCTAGAGGACCGTTCATAACCCAACCAAAGATCGTTCGCATAGCAAAGGGACCACCGTCTCTACTATCTCACACTTCTCTTGGTTGGAGAATTTCAGGAACGTCGCTCTTCCTATTAGTAAGTCGACTTCGGCATTGATTCGTGGATTGTTTATTCCCTTCAGATGTGGCCAGCAGTCGACATTGTGTTGATCTGGTACACTTTCACGAGAAATGGGCAGACTTGGTCTCGAGAATACATTCGGTAGTTCTATGACATGTTCTTCGTTTAAATCGAGAATCTCAAGATTGACAATGGAACACTCAGTTAAGGTGTTAGCAATCTCGAGCATCATCAGTGATAGCGTTGATTTCTTCCTTCTAACCCAAGTTGTTTCACAAGTCGCTCAGTGCAGAACGTGTTTGATACAGTGTCCAGGAACGCGTAAGTTTCAACCATCTTATTTCCTCCTATTGGTTTAACTTTAACAGGAACCACTGCTAGCCCAGTGATCAATGTTTCTTTCGAACAGTTAGCACCACTGTTCATCGCTGTGACATAGCCATTGTTTGATTCCGCGTTGTTTTCGCCTCGTTTATCACCAAAATTGTCCTTTATCATTTCTTCCCTTGTTGACTTCCATTCTCTGTTACCTGAACTCTTTGGGTGGAGAAATGTGGAGTGCTTTCCAGGGCAGTCTTCAATTCAACAGAACGATTTCTTGGGACATTCTTTGACGAAATGGTCCGGTGTGAGGCAGTTCGTACACAATTTCTTCATTTGGACAAATTTGCATCTCTCATCAACACGTTCATCTTCTTGAACTTGTCGCATTGAGACAGCCAATGGTTTGCATTGCAGGATGGGCAATTGATTGTTTTGCTTTTGGTTGCATTTTCGGCCGCCAAAGGTGGTCTTTGCTCACCTTCGGTTGCATAGTTTTTGACGTTGTGGTGAGATTTCCTTTTGTTGCTTGGAGGGTCTGTGCGTTTGGCGTCACTGGTTATTTTACCAAATATAGGGTGATTTGCCACTTGTGCTCTTCTCTCGACGAAGTCAGCGATATCCTGCAAATCCACGTCTCGTTCTTCCCTTTGCATTGTCAAGTCGACTATTTCACGCCATTTGAGCTTCAGACTGAAAGGCAATCTTTCTACGATTTTCTTCATGCTGACGGGGTTTTCAAGTCTGCTAAGGTAGCCGATTTCCTTCAGCATATTCTTACAGCTGGACAGTAATATAGAGAACCTCTGCAGACCAGGACCATCTTCGGCCTTCAATTAGGGGGCGTTAGTGAGGCGTTCTACGAATCTTGTATGGTTGACTATATCTTTCCGACAACAACCTTCGAACTTCGTAATAACCACGAGCATCTTGCATTGAGACAACTGTTCATCAATTCTTTCACCTGGCCAGACGTGTATTGGACAAGATAGTATAATCTTGCACTGGGACTGTTTGTTTTCCACTCGATTAGATTTTCAAACGCACGTATGAAATCACAATAACGTGTGGGATCGCCATCGAAAATGATAACGTCAGGTTGTAGAAGAGTTAGAGCTAGGATGTTTTCTTGCTGTTGTTCAAGGAGTTTTTGAAAGGCAAAACTTTAAGTTCTTGGGACTCTAAAACTCTACCTAATATTTGCATATTGTCTCTCATGGCTGAAAATTGAGAATAATTCCATTCTGGTGCATTTGCATTCAGATTTTCAGGCCTACGAGCGGGTGGTTGAGTATACAGGCTACGATTTTGCGACTGTTCCAGCCCTACAGGGGCTAGTTGCATTTTATTATGTTCATTTACGTTTACTACTTCAGTTTGTGTGACATCCCGATTTTGTTCAGAAATTGCTTCGGGGTTCGGTAAATTGGGAGTGTTTTCTAGGTGGACACCTTCTTGTGTTTCATCAAGGACATTGATTTTGCTCTTCAGGTTCAGCAATGGCATAAGCCCTTTCTTCGGCTTCGGCTTTAGCTATAGAAGTTGGAAGTTCTAATTGTTTTTTCCTTTGCTGGAGGCGTAATTCCTCCTCTTGTATTGCATAAAGTCGTTCAAGCGCAGCAGCTTCTGCTTCGAGAATTGCTTTCCTTACGGCAGCTCGCGCTAGCAGAGCTCTAATTCAACTTTGCGAACTAGTTTGTGAACGTCTCAAAATTATAGAACCATCTCGAGAATCTACGTTGCTAATAGAGTCTTCCGGTCTTACATCCATGTTGAAATAATGTTCAATTTATAAAACAATGTTCAATGAAACAATTTGTGTTCTTCACTTTAAACTCTTTTGGCACACTTTACCATTAGATTATGGGTGAAAATTTACATTAAGTCGTCGCACAATTAGATATAATTGAGATAATGAACAGAAAAAGAAATTGCGCACCACAGGATAATTATACACAACACTCAACAGATGGTGTTGATCGACGCAAGTGTTGAATGATTGCCAAGTCAAGTTTCAGTTCTTTGCCACAATATCTCACACAAGTTTTGGGTGATCATAAAACGAATTTGAACTAATGTAACTCCTAGTTGCCAAATACAAGAGTCACAGGGGGTTGAATGGTTGATATAGGTACAAATGAATATTCTAACTCAACAAATAGCAAATCAATGTACGATGTTTAACAAATTTAATATTCAACAAGATGGCCTTTTGTACAAGTCATGCAACGTATTGTAGCCAAGTAGAAATTCAATACAGGTAGCAAATTGCAGAATAAACACAATGTGGGACTTGTAGGTTAGGCACAGTCTTAGATTTGTGTGATAAATTGTAGATAAGTTGTAGCACAAATTGTAGCATATATTTTACATTCGAATTTGGTGTAAGCTTGTACCAAACGAGTAGCGATGAATTCAATAGCAGTTCTTCATACAAATATGTAGAAATATCCCTTTTTAGAATAGCTTGTAGCAATTACACCATCCTTACTGACACAGTCACAACTTTACTAACTCACGCTATCTAGTCTATTAGGAACATATGGTATAGCTGTTTCCGTCGTGGTATCAATCAAATTAACTAACTAAACACAATGAACTATTATGAAGGACAATGAACTCATTTTAAGTAAGCATTTCAAACCAACAATGATTACTATCCCATACCAAACAGAGCTTGCTCTTTTGAAATGCTAACAGTCCAGTTATCATACATAGCTCAGATTTTTTTTGGAACTCTTTACTATACATAGATAGTATGTTTGAAAAAGTATTACTTTTCAAAAGGTATACTTAAAATTACTCTGCCATTAATGGTGTGATGTCATCTGTGATGTCATAGGATTGTTGCGTTACCATGGAGATAGTGTGTCAGTGTCTGCAAAGTTCATGACATCACATGGTTGCCATGCTGAATATGTTCTCTGTGAAACATCCCATGAAACAATAATCTTTATGAGTTCCTTTCTAGAAAATACTGGTTTTGTGGCGAAAATGTACCATTATGGTCCGAGGGTCATGATGCTGCTGTATGACCGTTATGTAGGTTCGGGTGTCACCAATGTACCCGGAAAATTTTGTAGTGATCAAGTGAAATGTCTAGAAGTTATGACCAAAGAGTTAAAAAATCGACTTAGAAACAACCGTTTGGTGCCACATTATAAATTCATTTAAAGTCTGTTTTCCAACATATGGGCCAAAATTCTGATGTTCAAATTGCCATAATTTTTGATTCTCTTGACCGATTTTGATGAAATAAACACCAAAATGTTTCAAATGACGAGCTCTATCACAGGGAGCTATTTTTGGGGGGCCCCTGTCAATTTGAAATTTTGAGTGTTTGTCGGAAACTGTGTTGTTTTTATCGTATTTGGTTTAATTATTGATTAGGGTTAACTATTTAGGGACATTAGAATATTTAGTTTGATTGACATTTAATTATCACGTGGTAGATTTGAGCGGGATATAGAGTGTTGTTGACCTCCGTGTGCGAAAGAGTGATCAAATTTCGAACTGTGACTGTGATTTTAATATAAAGTTTATTTACCTATTCTTTTGTGTATTTTATTTTGTGATCGTGTGGGACTTCTTGAAAGGATCGAACCCCTTTTCCCACATTACTGGCACCTCCGACGGGATATTTTGTTGGTTTTATCGTGTGTTGTATGCTCCGTGTGGATATAAACAATGTCGCTAAAAAAGCAATTGACGGAGCTAGACGTGAAACTGAAGGCTTTGCATTTTCGATTGAACCGCAGTAACGAGATCATAGAAAAAGGTGACAAATCTGCTGTGGAAAGGCAACGAGAGTCCATTCAAACGCTTGTAAGTACAATAAATTGTTTAAAGGGGTCTATCGAAGAAGCGAAATTCGGGCAAAGCGAATCTGAGAGCGATGTAGAACAATGGTCGCAAGACATCGACGTGTGAGTCGCCACAGCTGACCAGTGTGAAAAGCTATATAATTTTGTTAAGGAAATCGAAACGAAGGCGAAAGAGCTAGAATTAGCCAAGACGCACGAGCAAGTAATGATGTTTGAGAAACAGATTTCAGAGCAAAAGCTTGAGGCTGCTGTGAAAACAAAAGAGCTTGCAGAAGGCACTGTCAGATTGCCAAAATTGAATATTACTAAGTTCAACGGAAAACCGCATGATTGGGTTAGATTCTCTGGTCAGTTTGACGCAATGGTTGACTCGCTAAATGTCCCTTCAATCACGAAGTTCTTTCATCTAAAGGAACTTATAGAGCCGCATTTTCGAAGCACGATTGATTGTCTGCCATTTACCGACGAAGGGTATAAGCGAGCCATGAAATATTTAAGAGATAAATACGGTCACCCGAGTGAAGTTGCTGGATCTTATGTCACCAATATTATTGAATTGCCATTACACTATAGAAGGCGCTACCTATTATGTTGTTAAGAAATTAGAAGTTATTAAAGCCGAGTTAGTAGCGCATGTTGAAACCAATTGGAGGGATTGGACATTTCGGGATTTAGTAAATGCGCTGCGAAAATGGACAGAGATTAACAGTGTAGTTAAAACGCAAAAGCGCAATAAGGATAACGCATCCCATAGTATTACGCATCGTCATGGCAACCAGCCCACGGGTGGGCGTGCTCTTACCTCACGAGATACCGAAGTTAAATGTGTTTATTGCGAAAATACCCATCACAAAGCAATCTCGTGTAGCAATGTGACAGCACCGAGCAAAAGAAAGAGAACTTTAGCGGAAAAACGTCTCTGTTTCAATTGCGCAATTGGTCAACATGCGGCGAGCAGCTGTAAAGGCAAGATCTCTTGCCAAAACTGCCAAAAGAGACATCACACCTCAATATGTCCGTCATCAATTGAAGTGGGATTAACCACGAATGTAATTAATTTGGAAAGTACATGTGTAGTACACCCTGTGGTGATTGTACAAGTTAAAGGCATCGTGTCAGAAACTCTGGTAAGTCTCGTTGGCGTGAAAGCCGTGAAGACAAGTACGTGGCAAATATCAACCTTAATGGGCGCTACAACGACAAAAATGTCGCAATTTGATTTGAGTTTTGAAGCGCTAAAAGGCGGTTTCGTTCTGAATGCTCGTGCAACAATGATAAAAAAACGTGAACTGTTGTTGCTAGAATTTGATTTGAGTTTTGAAACGCTAAAAGGCGGTTTCGTTCTCACCTCGACAAGAGAATCGAAGCTCATCAACATTTGCGTGACATTGAGTTCGAAGACCAACCAACGAAAGAGAAGTTGCCCGTGCATATTATTTTGGGCGCAAACGAGTACGCGAAGATTCAAACATCCCAGGTACGTATCGGTCGCCAAGGGGAGCCCGTAGCTGAGCTCACACGATTTGGGTGGGCCTTGATGAGTCCCGGAGAAGATTTAAACCCCACCGCAGGATGTATGGCGGTAAATACTGCGATGGATCACGAACGATTGTGCTCACTCGATGTTCTCGGCCTGGCTGACCCCCCTTCCGGTGATCAGGGCGTGGTTTACCAAGAGTTTCGCGAGCAGTTATCGCGAGATCCTGATGAAGGTTGGTACAAGACGTCTCTACCGTGGAAAGGCGACTATCCTCTACTTTCCAACTATTATAACGGCAGTATTCGTCGCATGCACAACCTAGTTCGAAGACTTCGAAAGACGGGAAAACTAGAGGAGTACGACGCGATTATTCGGGAGCAAATTGAAGAGGGAATCGTCGAACAAGCTCCAAGCGAAGTGGTTGGTCGAGAGTTTTACATGCCACATCGTGCTGTGGTGGTATTCTCATTACATTGTGCTACAGTGTAAGGGATGTGATTGGAAGTATTGCTTCAACTCATCAAAGAAGCAAGGGCAGTCTTTTGAAATAAATGTCATAGCAGTCCTGGCCTTTCGGGAAATTGGTAGAGGACACAATGCCATGACCAATTTCAGCAAGATTATGAATATGCCTGCTCCACCAAGAAGGAATCACTTCACCAAGATCCAAAATAAAAAGCTCCTGCCAGTTGTAAAACGTGTGCATATGATATGCTGAATAATGCTATGAATGATTCTGAGGAATGCGGAATATCAATTGATGGTACCTGGCAAAAACAAAGTGATGCATTGCACAATGGGGTTTTTACGGCGATTTTGTTAGATTCAAAAAATACCTCGATGTTGAAGTTATGTCTGACAAGTGCCAACAATGTCTCAAATGGAATAAGAAGCAGAATGACCCCAAATACAAAGAGTGGAAAGCAACACACCAATGTAAAATCAATCATGAGGGAGTTCCAACAGCATGGAGACGCAACATGTGCAGTAAGGATTTTCAACCGGTCATGTGCAACAAGGGGAGTAAAGTATACAAATGTGGTTGGTGATGGTGATTCCTCCACTCCTAGTGCTGTTGTTGAAAGTAAAGCATATGGAAAGGATTGCATACCTAACAAGCTAGAGTGTATTGGCCATGTCCAAAAACGAGTTGGGAGCAGGTTGCGATGACTCAAGAATTCCAATAAAGGTAGGAAACTTTCTGATGGAAAAGGCTTATCCGGTAAAGGTAGACTTACTGATGGAAAAATTGATGTCTTGCAAAACTACTATGGATTGGCAATAAGAGAAAATTTGGCCAATGCTATTCAGGCATCTCTTTTGCATGTTGCTTCCACAGATGAAAACCCACAGCATCATCTTTGCCCCAAAGTTTTGGTGTGGTTATCAAATTGACAGTGAA